AGCATGGTTCATTGTACAGCATATCAGAGTTTATTTTCCATTATACTAAGGAATGTTACAGATTTGGTTCTTTTCTATATAAGTTCCTATGCTGTGCTCATCACTGTAGTATATGAAGCATCATGACTAACATCTGTCTCATCCTCCTCCATGGGGATTTGTGTTCATATAGATGGAGTGTTTTATTTTGGAATTTATAATGGTAATAAATTAATATAAAATACACACAAATGCCCACAAACTGTTATATGTTTGTTAGAGAAGGCAAAGCGAAAGAAATGGGACTTCTACTTGGAGCAGAAGGTGGTGAGGTTTTTGATGGTCCTTAGTTCCTGGGGGAGTTCATTAGTCTTGTGCTGACCCCTGAGGAAGTTCCATCTCCTGTACAACTGAGCTTTACCTATACCATAGAGAGTTCCACTGAGCCAGAAGCACAGAGTTGCTGATCATGGTCTTCATCCTAGGGATTTGGTCAGTCTTTTAGATACCCTGGGCCCAGGTCATGGAGTGCCTTGAAGGGTCGATAAAAGTGGGAAAGAGTCCTGTGGCACCTTATAGACTAACAGACATATTGGAGCATAAGCTTTTGTGGGTGAATACCCACTTTGTTGGATGCAACACAGCTATCCCTCTGATACTTGAAGGATCGAGACATTGAACTCGATGCAATATTCTATAAGAAGCCAGAATACGGAGGGGAGGATAGATTTGATATGGTTATACCTGTGTTGCTGGGGGGGATGCACTGCAGCTTCCTATTCTAGTTGGTGTTTCTTAAGCACTGAAGGCTTCATGGCCAGCTATATTGCACTGCTGTAATCCAAGCAAGAAGTGACAGAGGCATGAATAACTGAAGCCAGGTCATCAACTGCCAGGATGGGATGGAGTGTCTCAGCCAACCAGAGATCACAGAAAGTGTTACTTGAGGATGCTGCTATATGTGAGAGCTTAGCATCAGGGAGGAATCTGGGAGCACTCCTAAACTATGGATTGAATTCACCATCATGGGTGTGTATCTTCAACCAAAGGAGATTAAACCAAGCTGCAGACTCTTCAGAATACTTTCCTATGTCCACCAGGATAACCTCTGTTATGCTTGGGTTCAGCTTCAACCAGCTGTTCTTCATCCTGTGAACTGATCCTGTCCAAGCACTGGGCCATCTTGATGGTAGTGGTATTCTCCTATGTGGTAAAGGAGAGTAGAGCTGTGTCTCATCTGCATGCTGCTGGCACTAGAGTCTCTATTGTCTGCCCAGTTCAGGTTAGGTGACAATAGAAACTTACTGAGAGGGAGATGAAACTTTTAGTGATTAGAACAGTGGGACTGGGAGAGTTCCAAGTGGACTACTGGTTCTTCCCATGTCTATCACTTACAATGCTGTATGATCTTCTGCTTTGTCTTCATTACTAAAAAGGTACATTCTTTACCTCACAGTAACAAACATATATAAGTTAGCCTGAGTTTAAAACACAGTGAAGACCAGGCACTTGAATTTTACTGAGGTAAACTCACAAAGGTCAATGCCTGTAGGGCACATAGGGCTGTTTATCTTGCAATGAAACTAAAATGCCTGGTCTTCACTGTAATTTTTTTTTTAACCTTGGGATACCTCATGTGTGTATGTTAGTTATCCTGAGGTAAAAAAGTACCCTTTTTAAGCAGCAAAGCCAAGGCCTTAAGACAACTTACGTAAAACCTTGTGTCTCAAGTTTCTCAATTGGGTATAATGCTACTTACCTACCTAACATGGGTGCTGAGACTTAATTCCATGTTTGTAAAGTGTTCTGAAATTATTGGATAGAAAGACACTAAGTGTGCAACACTATTATTAACTGAGCTAAAATAGTAGTGTGATTGTGCTGATACTTGACTGCATCAGGTGAAATTAGATATGAAATGTGTGATTTGAGGAAACACACTTTATCTCAGGCCAAAAAGAAGACTTGATTCAAAGTTACTGGTTTTTTAGCCCTTAAGGCTGGGATTCTCCCAACATTCATTCCCTTTTTAGATTTCATCCTTACAGCATAAACTGTTCCTGTGTTGTACACAAACAGCTGTGCATACTCAGCATCTGGTTATGGTTTAGGAAGCACAAAAGGATGTGGCTTTTACCTTATTTCTCATTTCTGAGCATGTTAAACAAATTCTTGGTGCAAGAGCTTTTTTTAAATAACCTACATTACGTCTAATGAGGTAGACACTTACATGGCAAACAGATGTTACAGGAAATAGTTACAGGAAAAACAATTCTGTTGTGTAGCTGTCATCTATACTGTACTGGATCTCTGTGGGTATAGCCTGAAGGAGACTGCAAGAGACTGGGGAGTAAAGGATTCCACATAATTACCACAGAGATGTGCAAAGTGTCAGATGCAAACTTACATTTTTCTTGAGACCATCACCCTTTTTGAAACCCTGACATGGAGTCTTGCAAAGTGCAGGATCCTCATTCATCCTCTCTAATTCCTTCAATACATGTACACGCTTTACTTTCTATGCTAGTGCTAGCAGATATCTAGCTAAAATCCAGATGGCTTGTCCTATGCTCGCTAATAAAATGAGAATCAAGTGGCACAAGGTATTCAACTCTCCTTGAGTGAGCACACACATCTCAGTACTTCTTTGATATGACCAAATCAAGTCTGGGAATCACTAGTCTCTTGTTAGACTTGTGTGTGCCATCCATCTCCTTAGCCACTCAATATGCAGTTATTTAATAAAGATAAAGTGAGCAACCATCACGCTACTGCACCAGCATCCATCAGACCAAATCTGCAAGTCAACTATAACAGAAATGAAGTTGTCACAACCCAATGGCCCCCTCCCTCAGGGAGTCCCCTGGGGAGGCAGATCAGCATTGTATGTTGCTAATGCTGTTGCAGGCATTGCAAAGCATTTTGGGAAGCGTGAAAGGTGTATGTGTGGAGTGGAAGATTCCTTTGCAGGTTACAAAAGGCCAAAGAGGGAGGGAGAAAGAAAGGAATGGGTTAACTCGGGGATTCAGCTAGGCTTGAAGATAAGGGGCGAAACTGCCACTCAAGGCAGACAAAGAAGCTCCCTGCTGCTAAACAGCCAAAAGCCTGTGGGAGAGGAACTGAACCAAACAGACCTGAAAGTGGGAGGGGGGGACAAAACTAGTGAGAATGCGAAGGTCAGCGAATGTGAACATAGTGGTGTGTTCTGGACGCTGTAGTTAACAGTTTTTGCTTTTAAAATGTACCCTCTTGACTGAGTACAGTATGATACTAAAAAGATGTAAAGAACATTTTGCGACTCTCCTCAATTGTGAGTAGAGTGCAAATGATCAAATAGCATGCTCAATCAAGCAAAGACCAGTTTGATTTGAGTTGGAATATCCACCAACTTTGGAGGAGACTAAAAATGCACTTATGGAAATAGCAAAGGCAGCTAGAGCTGGTGAAATCCCAGCTGGCATGCTGAAACAAGTTAGTCCTACACTCCACAAAACTTTCCTAGACTTACTTACTTTCTGCTGGGAAAAAGTGGTTTTAACCCAGGATTTCTAAGATGCCAAAATAGTTACAATCTATAAGCGTAAAGGGGACAGACAGACATTGTGGCAATTATTGTGGCACTTCACTCCTCTCCATCGCTGGTAAGTTGCTGAAAAGGCTTTAGGTTCTTGCAGATGATGTACTCCCTGAATCCCAGTGTGATTTTCATTCGTCAAGCAGCACTGCCAATGTGATATTTACCCTACACCAGTTACAGAAGAAAGCTGCTGAACAAATAATGCCCCTGTATGCTGCCTTTGTCGACCTCTGCTGTCTGGTGCCTTCTCGCAAAGTTTGGCTGACCGGACAAACTAATCAACCTCATACGCTGCTTCCATGACAATATGCTGGCCCCTGTATCAGTGGGTGCTGACTCATCTGATCCCTTTCTGTAGCCCATGGGATTAAACAAGGCTGTGATCTTTCCCCTACGTTATTTACTTTGTTCTTGGTTGGAGTACTAGAAGTCGCTGCACGTATTTACCACTACAGGTGTCACTTTAACAACATGATTCAGTGGCAGACTTCTAAACCTCCACCAAATGAGGGCTAAAAGCAAATCCCAGCAAAGTGAAATAAAGGATCTACTGTATGCAGATGACTCAGCATTTGTTGCCCTCTCTGAAAATGACCTACAACATTTGCTGAATTCCTTTGCCCATGCTTTATCCCTTTATGGCCTTTGTACTAACGTAAAGAAAACAGAAATCCTGTATCAACCATCTCCTAGCAGAAACCCATTACTTCCATCACTAACAGACATAAAATTGAATGGCTGCCAATTAAATAACGTCAAGTCCTTCTGCTACCTAGGTAGCATGGTTACCAATGACACCAGCATTGATAAAGAACTTTCAGCACACTTAAACTCAACTGCCTCAGCTTTCAGTCATCTACAAAAAAGACTGGAGAAGGGGGGGGGGGGGGGGGGGACAGGGGGCACGCGGGGCAGAAAGGGTCAAAGTGTCCACAAAGTGCCAAGTTTACAGCGCTGTTGTGCTCCCTTGTCTTCTATATTCGTTAGAGACTCGTAGCCATATCCAAAAACGTAACTGCCTGCAACGTGTCACCTATGCAGTATAATGGGAATCAAATGGTCTGATAAAATCACCAACAATGAAGTACTACGTATGACAACCATGCTAAGCTTGGAAGCCATGCCAGCGTGGAAGCAAACTGACTGCCTAAGAGAGTTCTGTACTGTGAATTTAAAATAGGTAGTAGGAAGGTTGGCCGTTCCAAACTCCACTACAAGGATTGCATCAAGTGGCACACAGTCTGCGGGACTGAACTTAATGACCTGAGAGGATACGACCCATGACAGGCGAGTTTGGCACTCAGCTATGAAGGAAGCAGAGCGTGCAATGGATTATTGTTGTACCAACTCGGCCGACACAGGAGGGAACGTAGACACTAAGTGCCCTGGTATGTTTCCTGAACCCTACATGTGGAAACTGATTTTCAGTCGTAGTCGTACTTGATTGAGTGACAGCCATTACTTTTTATATTTGATAGCCAATACAACTTAAATGCTGCAGTATCCATCAGCAAACATTAAGAAATCTAGAGCAGTTGCTTTTTATAACCATGTTTACTTCGTATGCATCATGCTTAGGGCATATTTTTATTAGTCATCTCCATCTAGATTGATCTCATCAATAATCTATGCAGAAGTTAAAATAGGAATAGCAGTGTTTTTTTTAATCCAGAGGTAGAATGATCAATATTAATGGCAAAAGTCTAAGTAGGAAGCTATTTTATAACTGAATATTCAGATTTTAAGATACACATAAAGGAGTCCCAAAGAATTACTTACAGTTGCCTCTTTATCACCTTTTAAGATTAAAAACAGAGCATGGAGTCCAACTGAGTACTATATTTTCATAACATAAAACATCTTGTCACACTTTACGCTGACCCTTTTTTCCTGAGGGATAAGGTGGTTTTATTGCTGCTGGTAGTTGAAATATTAGCAAGGTACAGACCATGGATTGTGACCTATTTGTTGGATAAAGCGCTTTGGTCAATATTTTCAAACTTGGAAGTCTAATAATAGTCATGTTCTAAGCATACATAATTGAAGTCCTAAAAGGTGTGGGTGTTCAGCACCTCTGAAAAGAAGGCCATCTATTTTAGGAGCCTAGCTTGATTTCTGGTCAAATCTGCACGAGTCTCTCTCATACCATCGTCCATACAAAGCAGCTGTCACTAAACCAGAGGACGGTCCACTTTTACTCATGAAATAGTAGTTGTTTTTCCAACCCAAGTGATCAGTGAAGTCTACATTAATACCAGACATCAGCAGTAAAGGAAAGATATAGGAAGTACTAAAATTTCCCCCCAGCTGAAAATCTATCAAAGCAGTGGCATCTGTGACCTCCTGCCCACAGGTGCTATAACTGAGGCCACCACACTTCACTAAGGCACAAACCTGAACATAGTATGTGCCATGGACTGTATGAAGCCCATCAAAGACACCCAAAGCATACAATTCATCAGATATAGTAGGTCTCTGGTAACTTAAATAACAACAGAGGGTGTTAGCACAAACCTGTAGCTCCCCTTTAGTTCCCCTTACAGGAACCAAAGTGAAATTGTCATACATCATCTCCCTGTAAAATATCAGAGGGGCTCCTTCTTTGTCTTTTTCTGCTACCCAGCAGTGGGCCTCTTGTTCCTTCTTATTGCAAACCTGATCATCGATGTGAAGGCTTGCAAAATTGTTGTGGGGGTATTCAATGCTCTTTCCAGGTTTTGCATTGCTCTCCAGATGGGATTCATGCTCTGGTGTCATCACAGAGATCTCTGCTACTATAAGCTTCCCATCATGACTTTCCATATCATGGTAGATGAAAGACTTTAATGGTGTGTATATGCCACTACCTGTCATACCTAGTGCAGGGTGGTGGATATTAGCTGCCAAAACATTTATATTAAAAGCAGTTGCAAAAGCTCGTTGAAATTCTACAGCAGACAGGAGTGGGAGCTGGTTCATCCATGCAGTCGGATACACAACCTGCTTCACATTGTATTCCTTGACCAGGCTTACAGCAGGCTCATAGAAGAGCATATCAAAGCAAGTGAACATGCCAAACTTGCCAGCAAAAGGTGTATCAAAAAGCACATGATCAACCTCTGGAGGTATATTGAAAGCATATTCAAAATACAGGTTTTGTTTGCGGTATCTGGCTACCAGAGTACCATTGGCGTTGAATACCACATCAGTATTAAACTGGTATCTCCCATCAGGTGGGCAGAGAGGATCCTTATACTCGCAGGGCTGCTTAGCTCCTATGTTTGCCACTAGGAACATTTTGCTCCTCAGTGCCATGCAGCTCAGTCGCTGAAGAACCTGGAGAAACAGTTTAGCAATACGTAAGCATTTTATTATGTGTGTGGATATTTATTATTTTATCAAACATGGTGTATTTCAAACCTCTTGAGATTATTCACTCTGTATTTGCAAAAACATTAAAAATGTCAGCGTTTGTGGAAAAATTAAATATAAGTGTTTGATGAAATTGTTGACTGATTGGGGTAGGTCCTTTCTATACAAAAGGCACATTATTTCTGACTTGAATGTCTCATGATATCCAAAACAATTTAGAAACACTTAAATAGTGTTTTAGTCATTGAAAAGAAAAAAACATTCCCTTACACTTTAAGGGCCTGATTTTTCAGAAATGGCCTCAAGTTTTGTGGGTGCAATTATGTCTGCAAATAATGAGGGCCAGATGAAAGCACTTCCGTGACAGTGTAACTGATTTGCAGGTAGAGAAGCATAATTATGAGGATCTGCTCCTGCAATTGCTTGCTGGTACAACTGGAGGTTGTGTTGTGGCTCATCAGACCCAAAATAACTGAATACTGTAAGCAACTGAAGAAGACAAATCTGAACTTAGGGCAGCAGTGGAATGAACTGGTAGTTCTTAGTTTTTAATTATGGGAAAATGACAAAGCAATAAAGACAAACTATTACTGAGACTTTTATTTTGGCCATGAAAAGCTTTAAATAAATGCCCTTAATTTCATCCAGTTGGTTCCAAGGAAATACTTGGTAGTGATGCTTGTAGGAAAAGGTTTCCTTCTCGTCTGTAAGTCTTTTATTGGCGGTTTTGGGGTAAATACCTGTAGATGTATCCTTACATCTTACTAATGTTTGGATTATTTATATTAATCTTTTTTTTCCTGAACACTAAACTTCAGTAAAATACCAGTAAAAAGCTTATCTATTGCACTAAAGTTGTGTTGGATGACATGAGTAACTTAATGGCTGGGAACAGAATGAGCTAGGTTTTTGGCTTGCTTTGTTCCTCTCCTCAAAGACAACAGGCCCTATTAGGCATTATCTTTAAATATTTTATATTTAAAGAAAAACATCCTTTGTTCTCATACGTGTATTTCAATGACTTCATCTCAAGTTTGCCACGTCTGTAAGTAAAAAAAAAAAAAAAAAAAAAAAAAGTTTTCTAGCTGCCAGCCCTGCAAACTCTACATAGGATCTGAAAGTCAAGCTGGGTTCATAGATATTAAGGTCAGAAGGGACCATTATGATCATCTGACCTCCTGCACAATGCAGGCCACAGAATCTCACCCACCCATTCCGGCAATAAACCTCTCACCTATGTCTGAGCTACTGAAGTCCTCATGCTTTTCCGTCTTGCGTGTATCACCAGTAATAGATTCTGTGGGGCAAATTATGCCCTCAGTTATACCTGTAATTCGCCATGTCTTCAAATTCTGCCTCATTAACACCTGTGCAACCCCATTAATTCTTCATGGTTGCACAAGTGTAACTGAAGGCAGAATTTGGTAGTGCAGTTGGAGCATAATTAGTAATTCTGTTGCACATGTCAATAGAATCCAGCGCACATGTGCTCGCTCTGTAGTGCTGATTCTTTCAGGGCTAATGGGAGTCAAAAGCAGCTAAAACATATTTGTTACTCAAGTTGGCAGATACAACTCTGTATTCATACAAGAATGGACTACTTGAGTGGGAAGATACTATTTTCGTATTAGTTTTAAATTGATCTTTGTTCATAGAACCAGTTTCAAAACAATTTGAGATTCTTGTGAGTCAGAAAATCCACTCACCAATGTAAACTGTGGGCCAAATCCTGCTCCCTCTACCAACAGAGTAGTCCCACTGAAGTCACTGGTCAGTTTTATCTTTGGTCTAACCCCATTAATTTCAGTGGCATTATACCAAGAATTGTGGCCCATTGTGGTTACTTGTGTGAATAGGATCAACAGGTTTCAACTATGTATGTGGTTATGCAACCAGTCATGTTAATCAAACCATCTGTTGTACACAAATCTGAGTATTTGAGCTATTTCTTGTGATTCTGATAATGTTCTTTAGTTTTAAAAAACAGGGGTGAGAGAACACTTGATGCTACCACTGAATTGGAACGTTTAATCTAGTGTGTTAATTGCCTTCAGTGAAACCATAAATAATGAGAATGTCTAGAGGGAAACTCTCGATGCATCTCTTACATATGACTATTGTTTTAGTTGGAATAAAAATTAAACCATTCCTATCCTATTAAACATTGATACCAAAGTTTCACAGTTTGCTGCTTTAGAAACCCAGAGGCCACAGTAACAATTTTCACAAACTGTCTATGTGGAATCCGTTTTGCTTACTTAAGGCCAGATATTGATCTCAGTTACGCTGCTATAAATTCAGAATAATTCTTTAAGGTAACAGAGCTACTCCAGGGTAAATGGAGAGTGACTGGGAACACAGTCTGGTCCTTATGAAATATTTTCTTGGTTACTTCTTTAAACTAGGGCTAATTGCATTTTTAAGAGCTCCTTGGCTCCTGCTGTTTGTTCTCCACCTGGAGTATAAATCCTCTGTTGTTCACTACACTTCCACAGTAGGCAATTTTAAAACCTATACCTCTGTATCGCTGAACAGATCTGGCTCTCTGCATGGATTCCATTTCACAGACTGGGGACATGGAACAAACTCCAAATAAGGGTAGATGCTCTCTCTGGTGAAGTTGAAGCCATGGATTCCATCTTCAGGAAATACAATGATCTGTGCACCCTGTAAGCAAAACAAACACATACCTTGTAGCCAAAAATTATACGTGGGAAAAATGATCCAATGCTAACAAGGAAAGCAAAATGGGATCTCTTTTGGTGGTGAGGTTCCATACAAACAAAAGAAAGGGTTGCTTGAGTGTGTTGGGTTGACCATAATATAGAGGGAGCATTTCTTGCCTTTTTAGGTAGCATTGTAGAAAGTATTTTAAACTATTTACTTTAAAATGCACATTAACCTATACATCAGCAGCCACCTTACACTGTGGAAACGGGTCAAATTAAGGGGGGGAAAAAAGGCAGTACTCATTCAAACTCTGCCCATAAAGTATGCTCCACCCATAAGTTACCAAAATAAGGCACCATTCACAGTAGATTGTGCACATATTAAAAAGGTGATTGTGTGTGTGTGTTTTCTTGGCTCCTTGAACTTGGCTCACACTCAGGATGGTTGTGTCATGGCTCCACAGGGTGTGCCAGAAAGGACCTTTATGCAATCTTTCTAGGAATGTACCCCTTTTAGTACAAGACCCTGGGCCCTCTGTTTCTATCTAACAAAACAAACTGTTGGTAACTTCCATTCTTTTTCAAGTGCTTGCTCATATCTATTCCATTCTAGTTGTGTGTGCACACACGTGTCAGAGATTTCTGCCTTAGCAGTTTCCATAGGGTTGGCTGTGGCACCCCCTTGGGTACCATGCTCATGCATCGGTATATTAGGTGCCACTGACCCCACATCCTCTCAGTTCCTTTTTACCACCTGTGACGGTTGGTTGGAGCACCTTGTCTTGCAGACTGCAAGAGCATTAGGGATTCCTTATAGCTTTTTGTTCTCTTATCTGTATGTAGTTTGTAAGTAGCGAGCTAGCCTTTAGTAGAGTTAGGTCATTGTACTCAGAGTCCCGGATGGAACTTCATCCCCGAGTGGGGGCATGCCCGACTCTCCCAGCTTCAAGTTATGCTCGGCATGCAGCAAGCCAATGCCTATCAGTGATCCCCATGAGAGTTGCCTGAAGTGCCTGGGGGAATTCCACAGAAAAGGCAAGTGTCGGATTTGTAAAAACTTCTGACCTCGAACGCAGGAGCGGGATATCCGCTTGAGAGCGCTCCTCATGGAGGCTGCGTTTCGTCCCGTGTCGGAGCCCTCCACTATGGACCCCACGCTGAGTACTTCTGCTTTGGTGCGGCGCGCGCCCCTGGCACTGGGCTCTGCCCAGCACCATTCCCCTTCGCCAGTGCTGAAGAAGCAGCAAACGAAGAGGAGCCCCTCAGCACCAAAGGACAAGGTGACTTCGGGCAAAGGACCTATGTCAGGCCTTGCGCCCGCTTCAGGGTGGTTCAGCAGACGTCAGAACCCCCAGCCCAGCCAGGGATCCACCCCCAAACTCAGGAAGTGGCAGGGTTCCCTGGCCTCTCCTAGAGCTATCAGTGCCTGAGGTGGCCCCGGAAAGCCAAAGACCAAGTGAGCCAACTGGTACTATAGGTGCCACACCAGGTGGCGGACTTGGCTAAGACCCCGGCACCTAAGGGCATGCCGTTCATGGTGCAGCCTCAGAGGATGGTGCAGCACCCCCAGTTGCTGGACCATAGGCGCAGATCTCTATCTCCACATCCTCGGACCCGGGGACCGTATCCTGGCTCTCCAGCTAGAAGACCCAGGCCCTCGACGCACTCCCCACCTACCAGGCATGGGACTCCAGAGTCAAGTGTCAGCCTCCATACCACCAGGAGTGCCCATTCACCATCATGGTACTGGTCCCAGTCCCTCTAGCAGGCATCATTACTCACCCTCGCCTCACCTGTCCAGTCACTGACCAGAGTCAGCAGGCAGACTCAGACCTCAACAGCTCCACCGTGGCCGCCGGAAGGACAGTCGTCGGACCAAGAGTTCAGCCCTTCGCCTCGAAGGGAGGATTCACCGCCAACGCTGGAGAGCGGTGCAGCACCCGCCATGGTTACATCACAGCAAGGGCAGTGGCCCTCACAGTGGCTGGACTGGAACCCGTGGGGAGTGCCTGTGATGCCAGTCCCCTACTCCCACCAGCCTTCCCTGACAACCTTGGATAAACTGGCCACAGCACCACAGTCAGAGCATGGTGCCGAATCCGTTGCGGGGGCAGCACACTGGTTCCCCGGTGCTTAGGGGTACAGACGCATGAGCGCAGCACTCAAAGGGGCACCACAGCCGACCCTATGGATACCGCTAAGGCAGAAATCTCCGACAACTGTGCACCTGGGCGCGCACACACCTAGAATGGAATGGACATGAGCAAAACCTCTCAAAGAACAACAGTTACAAAAGGTAAGTGACTGTTTTTTCTGTGACTAAGGTTTCTTTCCCTTTCCCCTTCTGTCCCATACTAGGTACAGATGATTCTCCTTCAGGCTGCTGTCTAATGCTGCTTTACAGATCATTCTGAAAAGTAAGTAGCAGTATATAAAGGAAGCACTGTCAGAAAGACACTTGACTTATTTAGTTCCTGCCCAACACGCAGTAGACCTACTCCATCACTCTCCCCTCTCCCCTAGGAGCACAAAAAACAATCTCAAATCTATCTCACCCAGCAATACATAATGCTGTTCACTGTGCTTGTTCCTATTTTACTAAAAGTCTGTACTGGATTTGTGGCTAGCTGTACAATTTATACAATCAAACCTAAAAATAGGGGTGCAGTGCCCCACAAAAGAAGTAAGTAATGTTCTGTGGGATGTTTGAATGAAGAGCTAGGAAAGAGAAGAGTTGCTGTCATGACACTCCTCCATTAAGAGGATTCTTTGATTAAGGGATCAGGTAGGTGCTGGATTCTTAAATAAAAAAGAGACATTTTTCTATAATAATTAGTCTTTTTTTTCCCCAAAACTTGAGTACCTGAAGTTAAGCACCTTCATAGGTGGCCTGATTTTCAGAGGTGCTTAAGTTAATAAGAGTTGCTGGCTGTTCAGGATCTCCAAAAACCAGGCCACTTGTTTAGGTGCCAAATATAGGTTTAGTTGTCTAACTTTAGGCATCCAAATTTGAAAAGACTGTTCTCAATAATTAGAACTTGTTATATAGAACTTAAAATGGCCACTAAGCTGTGGACATATTTTCTGACCTGTTTGGCTGCAGCTATTACTTGCTCTTCATATATATATAAGTTTCTGCTCATCAACTCTAATGCAGAGCGTCGATCAGTTAGGGTTGCTGGGTTAGGACTCAGTCTGGGTCGATGTTCGTACACAGCAGCAACATAATGTCCTTCTCTGTGAACTTCTGCTGAGGCATCTTGATAGCAGAAAAGGAAAAGAAAAACTGTACAGCAGGCTTCCAACATGACTTTTGTCCATAAATCTAGAGTGAAACAGACAAGACCAAAACATTTGAATAACAAATCATCCCAGTTTAAAACTTTCACACTCTTAGCTCCGATTTATTAACAGTGACAGCTAAATTCAGACTCTCAGCAATACTGGACCTAACGGGTTTCCCCTGCCATGTTCCTGGATAAATGTGTTGCTTCTAAAATTCACATTAATCTATTTCAGGTCACAGTTCAAATGTACCGTGTTCATTTCCACTGCATTTATGTCTGCAGTAATTTCCTTGCTCAGTGTCCAACCCAACTCTCAGTGCAACTATCATTGCATTTACAGGGCTGGGTTCATGAACAAAGAAATAGATAATTCCTGAAGAATCAGACTGAGGACTTGTATAATCATCCTGCATGATTTTTTTTTTTTAAGTAGATAATATATGTAGACTAAATCTCATTTGATTCAGTGAACTCTTTCATAAACTGCTAGGAAAAATGCTGACTGTAGCTCAGACTGACATTACTGCTTTTTATTATAGGCATAAAAAGAAATATGCTGCCCATAAAAACACTACATACATTTTTTTCTCTCTACACTTGGTATTCTCAAATAGATTATCCTTCTTCCTGTTTCCTCCAAGGGGAAAATACAATTTTGATGTTCTAGGTGCTAAAATATTTGCTAGTAGCAATTTGAAGGTATTGCAGCAAAGTAAGTAAAACCCACATTAGTAACTTGTGACTGAATCAATGAGCCCATTCTTTTCTTTTATGACATCTTTCTCTTCCTGTCAAACTCTTCCACTATCCCCACAATAGCACCCTCTGGTAGAAGTGGAATGCACCCCAAGTGTACCTATAATCTGAGTTCTCTCAGTAATATATGTTCTCTAGTGTGTCTATCACACCTACTGCCCCCAAGACTGGCAAGCAGCATAGCCTGGAGAAATGTACACAGGAACTAGGACTTTGGCAGAGCTGAGTTCTAATTTGAATCTGCCACTGACTTGCTGGATGGCCTCAGGCAAGCCACTTTCTGGCTATCTTCTCATCTATAATGTAAGGAAAACACTTAATCTTTACAGCACCCTGTGAGGCAGGAGAGTAAATAACATGAGAAGCAGTATATAAGCAAGTGGGTCAGGACCCCATTTTAGTGCAGTTGCTAGGGCTGGTTTAGACTTGCTGAGGCTAAAGCCCGAGCCCCACCACCTGCAGCTGAAACCTGAGGGCTTCAGGCTGCGAGGCAGGGCTCAGGTTATAGGCCCCCTGCCTGGGGCTGAAGCCCTTGGGCTTCAGTTTTGGCCCCCACCACAGGGCTGTTGGGCTTGGAATTTGGCCTGCTAGCCTGAGCCGTGGGCCTCAGGCTTCAGTGACCCCTCCTGGGGTTGTACAGCAATTTTTTTTGTCAGAAGGGGGGCGTGGGGCTATGAAGTTTCAGAATCCTGGCACTAAGGGTATATACAGCTACAGTTCACACTAAGCCTGGGTCTGCGGGACTTAGGCTTGTTTCCATGCCCAGGCTTAAGCAGCCACACTGCATTATAAAGCTGGGTTTACAGTTGCTGGCCCTAGGGGTCTCAGTCATGCTAACACATCCATACTGCACTAGACTGACCTGAATTGGACCTGCAGCGGCAGCTGTATCCACATTGAAAATGACAGGTCTTGGGCCCTGAGTCAGACTGGGACTTGGGCTCTGACCCTCCCCTCTAGCAGGGTGCTGGGACTTGGGTCCTGAGTGCTTCCTAACCCAAGCCAGATTGATTTGTATGTGGACAGAAGAGGGGCTTGAGTTCAAATCCGAATCAAAGTCCAGGCTTAGTGGGCAGTGCAGACTTAGACTATGGCTATGGGGCTTGACATTAGCCTAGCCACTCTTGCTCACCAAGAGTATGTTAACACTGCAATAAAAAAATCCCTACACTTGCAAGTTACAGTGCAATAAAGCCACCCAGAGTGCTGTACCTCACTCCCTGTCCACACTGGCAAGGCATATACAGTGCTGTGTCTCTGGGGCTACAGGGCTCCTAGTACTCCACCTCTCTGAGATGATTAACAGCTGTTGCGCATTGGCTGAGACGCTCCAGCGTAAAAGGGGGAGTATATTATGCACTGACTGACCCCAGGAAACACCCGATAATCCTTTTAACTGACGCATCCTCTCTTGTTTTGTTGTGAACTGTGGATGCCATTCAAAGCTCTGTTTCAGAGGCTGCTTATCAAAACAACACATACAGCTACTGTTTGCTTTGAATGAGTGAGAGGCAGGCGGGGGGGGGGGGTCTCCATTTGGAGTGCTGACAGCTAAGGTTTGCTTGAAGGGAGGGGAAGGGGGGGGTTGGAGTCCATTTTGGCTAGCAGCTGCTTATCTCACCTATGAGAAAGAAGAGGAACAGCTGCCATTTGCTTTCAGTGAGTGAGAGAGAGGCGGGGGAGGAAGGGGGTCTGCACTTACAAGATAGCATGCTGACACACTCTCACCCCCCCCCAAAAAAAACCCACTCTCTCTCCCCTCACCCTCCCTGTCACACTCCACCCCACCCCCCTTTGAAAAGCACGTTGCAGCCACTTGAATGCTAGGATAGCTGTCCATAATGCACCGCTCCCAATGCGGCGGCAAAGGGGGCCAGGATAGTGCGCTGGCAGCGTGGACAGACTGCAGCGCTTTCCCTACTCAGCTGTAGGAAGGCGGGTTTAACGCCCAGCGCTGTACATCTGTAAGTGTAGCCAAGGCCGGTGGAGCCCCATGACCCTAAAGGGAGCAGTGTAGTGCTCCGAGACCTTCCTCACAGGGCAATACTACAGCCCTGGAGCCAGCCACGGCCCCTCAGTTATTGCAGTGTGGCCACTCCCTCCCTGGAGCGACTCGGGGGAAGAGGGCAGGGAGCTCTTCACCTCAGGCTGTTTCTCAGCGCGGCCCCTCCGCCCCAGGCCCAGGGCAGATCGCTTCCTGCTCACGGCTGCGACCAGTGACTTAGGGCGGGTCGGCCTGGCCCTGTTCACACGGGAAACTCGGCTCCGCAACGCGCACCTGGGCGAGGCCGGACCGCGCGCGGGCGGGCGGGCGCTCAGGACTGGTCTGTCCCCGCCCCTCCCACCAGCCCCGCCGCCTCAGGAGCAGCCCCTCCCCTCGGGCCCGCCGCCGCCTCAGGAGCAGCCCCTCCCCGCGAGCCCCCTCCCGGCCTCCGCTGTTGAGCGGCACGCCGCTCCTCTCATTGGTCGGCTTCCACGGAGCTCGAGCTGCCCACGTTCTCACGCACGCGCCCGCAAGCGACTGTGGCCTTTCATTCTTTACTTGCCCTCCTCCTTGCCGCAACACGGGGAGGGGAGGGTCCTTTCTCATACCCTCGCCTACAGCTAGCGGCAAGAATTTCCCTGCCTCTGATTGGCCAGTTCCGATACAGCTGCGATCCAATCGACAGCCTTTGGTTCAAGCCTCCGCCTCGTGCGCGGGAGCGTAACCTTCCCAACCAACAGCTGTTCTCCCGCTTCCTTTTGCCGTCACACTGGGTGGTGCACACTTGACTGCACGCAAGTGTCAATCAGAGCGAAAGACTTTGCTGATTGGTTGGAAGCTGCAGCACCTTCGGCCCGGGGGGCGACCTTGCGCTGCTGGGCGCTTGCGGGCTGGTGTGAAATGCGGACCGCTTCTGAGCGAGCGGGACGACGGCAATGGCTCCCCACGGCGCTGCGGAGGAAGGATGTGTCAGCGGGGCTCAGCTCGTCGCCGAGGCCCTAAAGACACAAGTAAGAGTGCTCCAGGCTGAGCCTTGACCCCCGACAGTAACCGGAGATACTTCCCCTACGGGAAGGGGGAAGGGTCATATCGCGTGGTGTAGTAATTAGCGCTCCGCGCTGGCACCTGACTGATCTGGGTTCGAAACCAGCCACCGGCTCTCCCCTCCCAAGCGGTTGGCCCTGTGGGAGGAACATGTGTTGTGCCATCACCTACCTCCTAGGCAGCAGACAGTGGCAGGTGCTGGGGAAGACCCCTGTGCTCTAAGAGCTTGAATGGTGGCAAAGCTGTTCCCAACAGCCCAGCTCCTGGGAGCCAGTTACATGCTGAGACCCTCGCCTAGGTGCGTCGCCCTGGCGTGAAGATATCCAGGGGGCTGCATGGAAGGTAACCAAGGGAGCTAGGTGGTGTTGGCATTACAGCGAGGCACCGTGTGCATGGCTAATGCAGTCAGACAGTCCAGAGAGAGGCGCAAAGGGTGGGAGGGAAATAATTTTACCATTGGTGAACTTGGGGTAATGGAGGTACAAAAAGATTGAGCAACTAGCCCTGGGGCTGCAGCAGTCCAGTGCCTTAACCGAGTTGTTCAGGTAGGCAGGTTTTGTGTGGCATTGATCAGCTTAGATCTCTTGCGGCTGGCAATACTGGCATCCCTCTGCTCAGTCTCATTTGGGCTTCCCCGTTCACAGTACAATAGGGAAGTATCATGCCTTTGCTGCCGTTAGCCCGATACTTTACCCAGGGATAAACTCATAACGAGCAAACTAGGGGCATGCTCCTTTCCTGTAATCTAGTTTAGATTGAAAACCTCTCAATGTCTGTGTATATACACAGTTTAAAATAATCTCAGCTGGCTGTGTCATTGTCCAGAGGCTGATGTAACTTGGAAATGCTCTTTTGCTCTCATGCAGAGAGACCTTTACTGGCAGTTGTACAGCTTTCTTGAATTATCAGCCTGCCCACTCCCTGCCTCTGGGGCCATGTCTACAGTACAAAATGATGTGGACCTAACTTGCATCAACATACAGGCATTGTTGTTATTAAATTGCTTGTATGTGCACACTTGGCTCCTTTGTCAGTGGGGTGTGTTCTCAGTGGGAACACTTGTATCAGTTGCATTCTCAGTGTGGGGCATTGTGGGATGGCTCCCAAAAGCCAGCAGCAGTTGACATAAGTAACACAGGGTCCACGTTAACTCTGCATCAACTTAATTACATCTATCATGACCATGCTGCTGGAGGAGGTGGTGTTATTAAGTCATGCTAGTGAGGCATGTACGTCAGCAGAAGCCAAATTTAAGTGAAGATGCTTCCTCAGATAAGTTGAAACAAGGCAGGTTACCACATCACCCTGTAGTGTAGACCAGGTCTTGGTTTAAACGCCTACCTCATCATCATACTTACTATTATTTTATAATAATTTTCAAACTTGCATATCCTCTCCTGATTTGAAACAGCTCAAAGTTGGGACAGTTTGTCTAAAAACCTTTAATGACATTTGTACTATGGCTCTCTTATTAAGTTAATTATTAAATAAATGGTTACAGGAAAGGAGCATACCCTTAGTTCATTGGTTATCAGTTTATCCCAGGTAAAGTATCCTGCTATCTGCAGCAAAGCCATCATACTTCCCTAACATACTGTGCACTGGGAAGCCCAAATGAGATGGAGCAGAGAAATGCCAGTATTGCCAGCTACAAGAGATCAAAAATAATGAGTCAAACCCTCTGAAGAGATACAAAATCATGAGGTTATTTTAAAAAAAAAAAAAAAAAAGGCTGTGGGGAGGGGGTGTTTGGTCTCTCTTCTGGTTTTTGAACAAGTAGTGTTATTTACTCGCCCAGATCCATTGAGTAAGGTGATTTTGGCCTCTCCTGAAGGAGCTCTCAACCACACATCTACCCATCCCTTGTCCAGCAATTAATTTTACCCCCACTCAGCCTTTGCTCCCCCCATCATTTCAGCTGACCTTGTTCTCCATCAGTGCAACACTCCATCAGTTCAGCCGCACTACCTGCACCCCATCTTTTCAATCTTTATCAGTTTAGCACACCCATCCTCCTCTCTTCTCAGTTCACTTACAATTTTTAATTTTGATTTTGTTATGAATCCATTGCTTGCTGTAGTTTGACTGTGACACAAGCACTTGGCCTGGGCCCTTAGATAAAAGAGTCTTCGATGCCTTTTTGTTAAGGGCCTACTCAATGCATTTTTCCCACTAAGGGGAGGGGAGAGAGACTTTGTCAACCAACCAGAACACACAGTGTTTGGCTTCAGTTCTATAGTAGGGAAATCTGTGCCTGACTACACAATGATTTTAAATTTTAGACTAAACATAACAGGATAGAAGAACTTTCTTATCTATTACCGAGGAAACAAATAACCAATTTGGTACAAGACCTGGAATCTCTTGAAACTGTTCTCCCACCCTAGACTATATGGATATACAAGGGTTGGATTGTGTATTACTGTTTGCCTGGGGTGATGTTTTTCCCCCCATAAATTTTATTGTTATACTTTTATTCACAATTGACCACTGTATTTGTTAAGAACATGCTAGTAATCTTATATTTGAATCACTATTGAAATGCCAATTAAAATATAGTTTGGTGGGGGGAAAAGTTAATTGTTTAAAAGGAAAATATTTATAATAGAAACCTTGGTTTTTAAGACCAAAGTGTAAGGATCTATTGTAATTACATCCTACTGGAGAACAAGCAATATGCATAAGTGATATTTATCTTTTTCTTGAGATCTTGATGTGGTATTATTGCACTTCAACCTCTTTGTTTTTATGTGATTGTGTACTTTATTAGGATTTAAGATAGGCACACTACACAGAAGAAATTTCAGAGATCTGATCGTTGTGCATCAATTTTGGAAATAATTCAGGTTTTTTTTAATTCTTATTTCAGAACATTGAATATATGTTTGGTATTGTTGGTATTCCAGTGACTGAAATTGCAATTGCAGCCCAAGCAATTGGAATAAAATATATAGGAATGAGAAATGAACAAGCTGTAAGTATATATGTTGTGGACTAGTCATCCTTCCTTTTCTTTTCGTATTAGCTATATGTTTTACAGTTGAATCTCTGCTTTATAAATGCCTTTCAGGTGCCCATGAAACACTCATAAAATCTATGATTTTGGTAATCAAGAGCTTACAATAGAGTACCCAAACTCAACAGGAGTGCAGTAGCACAGAAGCTTAGCTTCATGCTTTTGGAACTCAGGAGTTCTGCAGGACTGGAACCTGAGGCTCTGTACTTGTTGGAGTTCCCAACTCCTGCAGCAGTTTTAATCAGTGCTAAGGTAGGGGTCATAAGTAAGGTTGCGATTTAGTCACAAGTTAAGGAATCCGTGACTTCCAAAGACCTCTCTGACTTCAGCCAGAGCTGGCTGGGAGCTGCAGGGTTGCCTGCTGAAGCAGGGAGCTGTGGGGAACCCCCACCACCACGGGCAGCAAGGGGGACCCCAACAGCTTGGAGCCACCAGCGGAGGGGGACCCTG